CCCCAAAACCCCAAAACCCCAAAACCCCAAAACCCCTTTGTTTGAATAATAATTGGAATAATATATAATGGCTGAGAGAGAAGACCCCCTAATTGATATTTCTGATAGGCAACCTACTCAATATGAAGAGCCACAGAGGAGAAAATGAGGTTGTGGGCTTTTAGAAAGATTTAAGAAGATGACTTTGGGCAAGCAGATCTGCATCTCAGTATTTTTCTTCTTGCTTATTGTGTTTGCTATCTTATTTGTTGTTATTATTGTTAACTTAAGAATTTTAATGGACAATACTTACTCTAAACTGACAGAGAAAATTGATAATATTTATCTGGACAACTTAGAGAATTTAAACAGAGAGATTGCAGCTACGCTTGCTGTTCACCAGGATATATCAGAGAAAACTCTCAATAAGACCAAGAGGTTGGTCGAAGATATCTTGCAAAGTAATAAAGAACCCGTGGTTGTAGATGGTAACTTTATGACTCATTTTATAGGTGAACTTGCGTATCATGTAAGAGACTACCCAATTTTGTGGACTGAGGTTCCTCCTCTTACTAAAGCTGAAGACATTCAAAATTCAGAAGAAAAATTTGGAGATCTTGATATCACTAGGGAAAGAATGACATATATCACTTATGAAGGAGGATTTAACGAAGATGTTCTAAGGAAGTTAAATACATTAAACTCTATCTGGACTCGGATAAATTCAATTATGATCGGTCAGGATAGTAACATCAACATTACCAGAAGCTTTATAATGGTGGAAAAGGAAAGCGATACATTGAATAATCAAAAGATGCTTGCAACATTTCCTGGACAGAAGTTTGATCCTGTGATTTCTTCTGATGATTTCTCTGGCTTTTCATGGTATAAAGAAGCTTTAAAGGATCATAGTTCGTTAGTCAAAATTAATAGAGGGGATGATCCTTTCAATGGTGGACTGAAGAATACAAGTGGATTTGTAAAGGCTTTTAACTCAAATGGTTTCCAAGGAGTCGTTGGGGTGATGTACACATCCGAAGATATTAACAATCTATTGTCAATCTTTTTCAAAGATCAATCAGAAAGTGAAGAAGATAATAATAGCTCTGATATAACTACATATATTTCAAATCCTTCAGAAGAGTTTTTGGTTAACAGAGGAATTGATGTATTTGATCTCCCAGATACTATTAGAAGAATAAGAGAGAACAAAGATTTACAAATATATCAAGACACAGTTTACAATACTGAAGTCATTGTTAAAGAGCAAGGGTACTATATTAAAGACCTTTTTGGTCCTGATGAACCATTCCATAAGAGACAATCTTTGTCTCCCAGAATTTTGCAAGAAGTTGAAGGAGATTTTGAAGCTGCAGATGTAGCTATTGAACCTACTAGGTATTCAATGGTTGCATTTTTGATTCCTGCATTACAATCTACTAATATTGACGATTATGATTACTTGGTAATACTTCTTGAAGACCAACGAGGAGTACAAACCTTCAGTAATGATCTCAAAATTCGTATTGAAAATGAATTTTGGATTCTTATGTTTGTGGTAGTAGGCTGCAGTTTGTTATTATGTGTGTTAATAGGACTTTGTGTGCTCTGAGCAACTAAGAGGATCACTTCTCCTATTCAAAAGTTAACAGATCTTACCTCAAATATCAAAAAGGTACATAAAATAGAAGAAATTAGGGAAAAAGTGAAAGACCATGAGCTTTTCAAAAAGTTTAAGAAGAAAAATGCAATGAACTCAAAGAATAGTGAGAATCAAGATGAGATTCAAGAGCTAATATCTATTTTCTATAATTTCTTCATTCAAGACAACGACGAAAAAGAAGAGAACAATATGCTGAAGATGTCCCAGTATGAGTATCCAACTAACCTATATCACGAGGCCACTGGCGATATCTCAAGTAGGAGTGGTGAATCATTTGAAGAAGAAAAGTCTTCTTCTGGAGTGATACACAGGAATGTTAGAAGCAATAACTCTGCAGACCCAGATTCTCACCAGGTGAGCATCAACAGAAATGGAGAAAGTGATGAAGATGACACAGATGACCTATTACATTCAAGTGATGATGACGATGAAGGAGACCATAGCCAAGCAAAAATGAAACCCCCAATAGCTATTAACTGGGAGCATATTATTAAAGAGCATATTCAATAATTTTTTGTTGGAATGGGGTTTTGGGGTTTTGGGGTTTTGGGGTTTTGGGG